GGGTTTTACCATGAAGGTACTACGCATCCAAGGTTGATGTTGTACTTGTATTAGAAACCTTTGAACTATGTTTTGCTTTGTTTTTAAAAAACAAAACAGAACTGTTTTTCTATTGTTTTCCTTTCATCTTATTTATTTGCTTGCCAAATGAATTCGCCTTCTATCATAATTTCTAAGTGGCTGATCTACGTTGTACAATGTCAGAAACTGCAAGGAAAAATCTGGGAGCTATGATTTCAAAATGGAACTTTAGCACCTCTGTTAATTTCTAGAAGTCTTAAACTCAGCTATGCTTTTTCTAATTGCAATTTGTGGAGATTATTAACGCATAAGCTTTGGTTGCTTGTTGAAACAGATGTTCTACAAGCAGGCGAAGAAAACCAATCAATGTTGTACCATACTGTAGCTGCAATGGCCCCTCATTTGTCATACTGTTGAAGCTGGTGGATGGTAAATTGTGATTGTAATATGTCCATATCATTTATCAAATTTGTGTGGCTGAGTGGAAATTTCTCCTTTCTGGATATTTGTGTTGGATCGAAAAGAAAGGAAACCAGATATTAATCATCAAGTTTCTTATCATTGCTTTATACACCTCGTGTTTAACTAGCAATATCATAGTTCGCATGCACCAGTGTTGTATGCAATTCTCTTACGTTTTAATCTTAAAACTAATATATATTTTGTTCAATCGTTTCCTACTGTCCATTCTCGCAGGGCAAACCCCTAATTATCTCACTGAGCTTTACCATACTAGGGATGATGCACACAACATTCCTCGTGAAACGTTGTGCTTTGCTTTTCTCTTGCTATTTTATAATATGATATTCGGATCTAGGAATGGAAGGCTACCGAGTTGTACTTGACTATTGGCGGGTCTCTTTGTATGACATATGTGGTGTCCGGAAAGAGGAGGATTTAATGATTATTCGGAACTAGAAGTAAAAATTTTGGTAAATAGGGATTCCGTCAAAACTTCTTTTAAGGTATCATCTAGGACCAGAACTTCTTGTTTCACAAGGCGGGTGAATCTATAAAACTCGATCACTTATTAACAAGTAATTCTAATGTGGGTGGATTTAGTCGGGAAATGTAAAAATAGTATTTCAGGATCCATTATGTGTTCAAGGTTTTTGTTTTTCTTGGCATTTATTATTTTGACACAAATCTTTTTGGTTCTTAAAAAGAAGCAGTTTGAGAAGCTTCAATGGTCTGAAATGAATTTTTAAAAAGTGAACATCAAGTTTTGATTTTTTCTTAATTTCTTGGAAAGAACAAAATTTTTATTGGAAATTCTGTATGATAAAAAAATTGTGAAAAAAACTTTTGTTTTGCTTCTATTTTTATGCTGCATTAGGAGAGTTACTTGTACCACATTTTTATATTTAGTATGTACATTAGTAAAAAAAATTCATAATTATCCAGTCAGGATTGATCTAAACTAGTCTATTATGTATATAATTCAATATGCCAAATGTTAAACAACTTATTAAACACAAGACAACCAATAAAAAATGTAACCAAAACCCTTACTTTTAGGGATGCTCTTGGTGTCGAGGGACATAGGGATGCCCTTGGCATCGAGGGACATGTACTATGGGGTATGTGTGACTTGTTTAGATTTTAGATTGTAGGTGGGGATAAAAGAAATAATTTTTTTTACTATTCGTAATCAATACTAATGAATAGGATAGAATCATAGTTTTAAGACCAAGTCCGGTTTAAGGCCCGAGTTTCGGGTTTTGACTGGGTCACCGGGCTGGTTTAAGGCCCGAGTTTCGAGTTTTGACTGGGTCACCGGGTTAGCCGAGTCAAATTTTATTATTTTTTAAAATTACGATGTTGTTTTAACAAAAATATAAAAAACAAATCAATGGGTTTGCAACCGGGTCTTGCCGGGTTATATTGGGTTTTTCCTTCCCCTATTTTTTCTTCAACCCAGCTCGGTTCCAGCCGCGGGTCGACTGAGTCCTAGATTAACCTGTTGGGTCATGTCGGGTTTTAAAACTATGGATAGAATGGAAGACTCTCCTTATCTAAAATGAAAGAAAAGATCTAGAATATGCTTTTATGGTGTATCAAATTTATGGTTTCTATTGGTGCAAATTCAAATACCTCAATTTTCAATTGAAAATGTGAAAGAATTCCCCTATTAAGCAAGATAAATTTTATTTAAATTTAAAAAGCTAAAAATAAATGCCTTTACTCTTACAAGAACAGACTAACAAGGTCATCTAATATCATGACCCGATTTCCAGATCTATGACTGACACATAGATAAGGTTTTCCTTTAAAGTTTTATACTTATACAAACCCAAATTTACATACAATCTTATTCTTTAAACAACTCAATCAGAGTTTAATACAATATTAATAACAAACTAACTTCATAATATAATTTAATTATTTTAATACAAGAGTTAATATAATTTCATAGTTTTTGAGTATTAACTAGATATAAAAAAGGTACAAATTATATATATAAAAAACAGGTTCTGAAGGTCCAACAAAAATAATCTGCTATCAAGCTATAAGCCTGAAAATGATGAATAGTGAGAGGGTGAGTTCAATAACTTAGTGAGTAGATAATGTTCAATATACACACATGAGGTAATACAACAATAAAAAATATATATACAATTAGTTTTAGGTTTTTATAGGAAGGTTCCTCAAATAGACCATAACAAGAATATTATAAGGTAAAACTCGTCAGAAAATTAAAATGTAATGAACATGAGGCTTCGTACTGTGGGATGATCAATTCGCACAAGTTGGTGACTCTCCCGACCAACTAGAATTCAGATACGATATGTACAAAGACCAATACTATTCTATTAGCATGACTATTTTGATTGACATACCTTAGATTCATAATCATAATGAAACAAACATATTCATATCTCAAGACTCAACTCATGATATTAATCAAATGAAAAACTATCAATTCAGGAATTAATCCAAAACTATTCAGATTAAATTATAGATCATACTTTATCATAACAAGAATAATAATCAGCATATGTATTATCAAGAAGCATGATCTAATTTATATTAACAATTTAAATATTTATAATATTTCTCATGCATATGAAAAATTATCCACCTACCTGACTCGAAAACAAACAGAACTTAAAACTGATATCAAAAGAAATTCCATTGACATCCTGCTAATAGGATATCAGGATTTTTTGAATGCAAAGGAGACTTAATACACTTATCTAATAATATATTCTATAACCCTATATGTTTTTGGACTAAACTAGATATTTTTCTAAAAACTCAACATTAAACAATTTTTTTGAAATTCAATCCATAATAAAAAAATAATAAAATTGGTAATAATTCACTAAATAACCCTCAATTATTCATCAAACCAATTTACAAAAGCTAATATTATAGCTAGAGACTAATCTGAAATATATCATATTTTTAAGGGTCAAATTGTAATTTGTCATATTGGAGGATCAAATTAAAAATATCATAAATGCATGACTATACTGAAATTATGACTATATTTGATCCTCAATTTTATCCAGAATATCTCATTATACTCTAGGGACTATTCTGAAATTTTTCCAAAATTTTTGGGTCAAATTATAACTTTTGTTAAATTGAATGATCAAATTAAAAATGGTAAAATTTCATAACTATACAGGAATTCTGTCCATAATTCATACTTTATTATGCTCATTGGAATATGCTCCAGGGGCTGATCTATAATTTTTCAAAGTTTAGGGATTAAACTTTAATTTTCATAAATTGAGGGACCAAACCAGAAATTTGTCATTATCAACTTCTAACCTATAATTTCAACAGAAAACCTATTGTTCTTTCCAGATTTCTAATTTAAAATTCACCATTTGTACAAAATTATAACTCAAAATCATCATCTTTACCTACAATCTCTCAAAATCAACTACCAATCCATTACCCACAATAATCAACCCTATATTATTCAAATTAATTCCTCAATCAACTCAAAATAAAATCTTTAAAATCTTAACATTTATCAAAATAGAAATTAAAAACTCAAATAACATACATTTATTCATTTAATAACATAAATCTTACATTTAAACTTATTTCCTCTTAACTTTCTTTTGTTTCTCTTTTCTCTTCTTTTTTTTTCTCTCTTCTCTCCTAGCGGTTCTCTCTTTCAATTTTCAGATCCCTCTTTTTTATTTTTCTATTTATATTATCAAGTTTTGTTAAATTACCAAAATATCCCTCAATTAATTATACTTCCTTCTATGTTACAAGAGCTTGATTACCTTTCCTATATTTTTTTAATTCAAAACATCACAGCTAATCCTGTAATTAAATACCGTTAAGTCAAATTCAAAGTTGTGACACTGGAAAATCTCTTTGGGTTTTGTTGCCAGACGTTTTAGAGATGGTGTCGGAAACTCACATTGATTAGTTCAAATCCATATGAATCTTTGTTAATGAATCCTGATTGCTAATAGAGAACCAGGAACATTTATAGTATATTACAGCTAGGGTTCATGGAGAACAAGAATCTGCTTGATGCATTGCTGAACAAAACGGCAGCTCAATGCTTCCAAAATGAAAATAATTTCACTTCAGCGTTCCATTCTGAGTATTATTAGCACGGAACCTTGAATGCAGAGGCCATCGTTATTCTCAAATTTCAAGCATTCCGAGTATATTACCATTTGAATCGCTTCACGAAATGCCTGTGAGCCCTGAGAAAACAACGTGCTCTTGTGGGGAAAAAGAACACAGGATTGCAAGATAAGCAAGAATCTGTCATCGCTATCACGACAGACAATTTGACCCCACCTCGAGCTGGTTTCAAGATGCAAATCCATACGACACTCATTAAAGATAAGGTCAATTCTTCCTAGGATTCTGGTTTGGCATTGTGATTCCTTTTGCGAACTGTGGGCGTGATATTAGCACCCAAAACACAAATCGCACCCCACAAGCCAAACAACAACCCAAGCCTTATCAATCAAATTCAAAAGCCTCCATCAAAATTATTTAGAAAAAGTTCTGCACCTTCTATATAATTTAGGAACCGACTATTTAAAAACAAGAACATTCTTTACAGAAAGAAAGGCACAAAGGGGTATTAAAACACAACAGTCCTGCTCTATGTAGTGCATGTGCTTAACCCTCTGCTTGGTAATCTTTCTTATTTAAGTTATTTTCTACTTTACTTTCCTAGAATGGATTTGATCCACCAGATGCCTTTGGTGTCCTTGGGCCCTTCTTCTTCCGGTGGTGGGTCAGTCTGTGGAGTCTTGTGGAGCTTCTCCACATCATATCCCTGTTCTTTCGCCTTCTCCACTAGCTGATTATAGATCTCATCCTCCATATGGGTCTTCCTGCATAGTATCTGAAAGCAGCACAGAACATATAATGTTGAGACCAAAAGCTAAGCACGCTGCATGAACTATACACGCACCATCCTGTTTGTGGATTTAAAGAGCACAAAGCCGTAAAAGCTTCAGACTTTAACACGATGTTTGTTTAGGAGGTTTTTGAGGGGTAGGGCAGAGAAGAATGGGGCTGAAACCCTCCATTCTTGTCTGGTTTTCACTGCTAATGGAAGGAAAGATGGTGTAAGGGGAAATCTGCGGAGAAAATAACAATTTTCAAAGAGGACAACGAAACAAGAAAGGGCCTGCAATCGAGAGGACAACTTGCATACCTTCCACGAGATTTTATCCTCCAAACAATTATCTTCTCACCAATTTGCAGTTTTTAATTTTAATTATCAATCACAACATAATCAAATCAACCAACGTCACAAGTATAGATTTGGAGCAAATCATTAATCAATAAACTGATTCAAGACATTAGTCCAGAAAGGAGGAGCATAATCAACACAAATAACAAAGCAAAGAAAAAGAAATTGCTTTCATACATACCCAGAGATATTTCCTACTAGGCTGGCCAATCAAAGCATACTGATAATCATCATCAAGAGACAGAACCCAGTAATCTCCAACAACAGGAATGATGGGCAAGAATGGCGGGACATAAAACTTGACCTTGAGTTTAGCCTCATCACTGTTAGGATCAGCCTTATAAGCAGAACCCTCTATGTACCCTCTCTTGCCATCATTCCACGTCTCATTAAGCACATGGACAGTACCATCCTCATTCAGCGTATAAGTGGCCCTTGTGTTCACTCCATTCTTGGGTTGGAATCTTGATGGAAATGAAGCAATTTCATACCATCTTCCCATGTACCTCTTCAAGTCTACTCCTTTCACCACTTCCATTTCTTTTTTGCTAGCCATTGATTCAAAGCTTTGATGGAGAGGGTTTTATCGCGTTGCTTTTTTCGCTTTACGAGTTCTGTATCTTGAGCTTTAAATACTTCTTTATAAGGCAAATATAGGAAGGGGCTGAGATATTTGTGGTGTAGATGTGGAGGGCTAATGACCTTGCATGTGGTGGGTGTGAAATGTGCTGGATGACCTTGGGAGCTTCTAGGATCTTTTTGGCAAATGTCTTGTTTTGGGAGCGTGCTGTGAATGTGGCTTGGAAGAGTGGCAAACTTGGTGAGGAAGAAATGATAAAGATTAAGGTGTTGCACGAGAATGTGATGTTTTTGGAGTTGTGTTTTTTATTTAAAAATATATTAAAATAATATTTTTTATTTTTTAAAAAATATTTTTAATAATAACATATTAAAATAATTTGAAAATATAAAAAAAATTTAAATTTAAAAAAACATGATTTACATCAATTTCTAAACAAGTTATGAAATGAGATTACCATCTAATTGGATAAAAATTAGGTTTAGATTTTATAAGATTTGAGTCTGTTTTTGAAATTAAAGAAATGAATCTTTTAATTTTAAGATAATTAGTGTAGTTGATTAAAGTATTTGAGGCTATTTGATTAATAGCTTAATTGACATGTTTTTGGCATTGTTTGAGAACTTGTGCTAACTGTGTTTTTTAAAAATTTAAAAAATCTTTTATTTTTACTAAAATTTAATATATTTTATATGTTTTGAATCGTTTTAATATTTTGATATCAAAAATAATTTTTAAAAAATAAAAAAATATTATTGACATGCATTTTAATATAAAAAATTATTTAAAAAGTAACCACAACCACATTCCCAAACAAGCTTTTCTTAGTTTTTGTTGTTGAGAACACATTTTTATTTTTATTTTTAATGCAATATCTCTTTTTTCTTTTCTTTCCTTTCGGATTGTTAATGATTTCTTCTTAAGAAAAGATATTATTTGTTGAAAAATATTTTTTTGATTTTTTTATATCTAACTACATCATAAAAAAACAATCAACAAAAAATATTTTTTCATAAAAAAATAAAATTTGGATGGAGAAAAGTATTTTTCAATTTAAAAGATTGGTAGGATAAGAAAATTATAATAGTAAAATACTTCATTAATTAATTAATTATATATATATAATACTTTAAAATACAATATTATTAAAAAATAATAAATTACCAATATATTTATATAGGAGATAACATACAATATAAAAGCTTATTAATTTGATAAATTAGTTCATTTAATACTTTAATTTAGATAATATTTCTAGAAAATACATTTGAATACAAAACATATTATATAAAAAAAACTAATACATTAATAAGTGATTTTCTAGATTATTCTTCTTACTATAGTCTTGAAAAATATTTTTCTAGATACTATTAAATATTATAAAAAAATTTATTTTTTATAAAAAAAATTAAAAAAGTACATTAATAAGTGATTTTCTAAATTATTCTTCTTATTATAGTCTTGAAAAATATTTTTCTAGATATTATTAAATATTATAAAAAAAATTTAAAAAATATTTTTGAATAAATAAATAAATGTATACATATGTTCTTTTCGTTTTTTTTTGCTAAAGCAAATGCAATTGCGAGGTGGAATGTTTGATTGGCCATATGATAAAAGATGTTCCAAGTCGTAAACGAACTCATTACTGTCGGCATTAATTATCAACATTTATCATATCACAGCACATGCGAAGAGCCTTGTCAGGCTGGGGCCTTGATGTGTGGCCAGGTAACCGAGCCTCGAGATGTGAAGATTTGAGCTGTTTCCATCAAAGCCCGAATCAGTCCATCCATGAACAGATCATAATACACACAGACGCACACGCAAGTTCGAAACGAAGAATTTGACAGCAATTTATTAGAATTATACTGATAAAAACTTGTAATCAACAATCAATTATTGATTGATTTTTTGGAATAGTCTTATCTCATCTTATCCACACAACGCAGAATTCTTATCAACACAAAGCAGAATTCACCTCAAAAATGGAAATTAATCAGAACATGATGTTTAAAGATATTGTCTGAAATCTTCAAAGAATCAAAGCCCCAGAGACGTAGAAATGTGGGATAAGAGGTTAAAACTTCGGTAGTTTATCCCTTGTACTAATGGTAGAGCAAACGGCTCTGCACAGCCTTGGCCCATCACTTATGTCACGCTTGTGGCAGCAAAGCAATGGATCTCTCACACTGACCTTGTCAACCCTGTTTTTACGGTGACCCCATCTGCTTTTAACTGCCATGAAACAGCCTTTGCTCTTTGGCTCACAGTTTGGGATTTGGATCTAACTTCATGCATGTCATGTGTACATACTGCAGCAACACTACATGCATCAGCAAAGATGCTTGAGGCATGAAGGTAGCACTCTAGAATTTGCTTTGAACAGTTCAAATTAAGCTTAAGTGAGTGAGACTGTTAGAAATAGATGTTTTGTTTTGCCAGGATACATGTTTTTACTTCTCAGGTCTGATTCCTTCAACAATGAGTAGGACCACTTCTGTAAGCATGACAGTAGAGGCTTACTTGGTAAAGTTAATGTAAGCCATGAAAGTGAAGCAACATAGCATGAAATGCCAACGTATTCGTAATAACTGCTGTAAATGGCAAAACCCTACCGCCCAAACTTGAAGAGGACCCTCTAATACCATGGAGAACCTTCCCTCTCCCCAAAGGAAAACTTAACAATTGTCATAATAATAGTGCTAAGTATACATGTGTAAATGAGACTTCATCTCTTAAGAGTAAGAAGTAGAAAGAGAAGGAGAAATTGACCTGATATTCTGATACTACTTTATGCCTGTTTTGTTGCAGTGATGCTAATTTTGACAATCTCTCATGCCACCTGCTGTTATTCTCAGTTGGCATACTTTGCAGCTAGCTGACAACAACTACTGTACAATGCTACAGCTCAAGTAAAAAAGATTCACACTCAATAATGGACTGTAAATTGAAATCCTTATCCTCTGCCTTCAACAAGACTCCAAAATAACGAAAGGTAAATCACGAGCAAAGGTGGACGCCTGGTATAAAAAATCATCCAGGACTAGCCCCATCTCTTCCTCAGTGAGAATGGCTCCTTGTGCATCTCTTCTGCTTCCAGTCTTTGCCATTCTTGCAACACTACCAATAATACAATCAGTGCCCACATTTTTTCCAAGACCAAGTTATGGTCAATCTTTAGCCAAACAACCAAAGGCCTCAAAACCAAAGATCCCATACAAGACTCACTACTTCCCGCAAGTCCTAGACCACTTCACATTTCAGCCCAAAAGCTCAAAAATTTTCTACCAAAAGTACCTTGTCAACAGCCATTACTGGCACAGAGGAGCTCCTATCTTCGTCTACACTGGAAATGAAGGTGACATTGAGTGGTTTGCTGCTAATACTGGCTTCTTGCTTGACATTGCTCCCAAGTTCAGAGCTCTTCTGGTTTTCATTGAAGTACTGTTTCTAAAAAAACTCCACAGCATTAGCTATTGATTAAAATCCAGCTGTGAACTTGACTGTTATTCAGCATTAACATTTATGATTGATTTGTTTTAGTGTTATTTTTCAGCATAGATTTTATGGGGAGTCAATGCCATTTGGAAACAAATCATACAAGTCTGCAGAGACGTTGGGATACTTGAATTCACAACAAGCATTGGCTGATTTTGCACTTCTGATAAGGAGTTTGAAGCATAATCTTTCCTCTGAAGCATCTCCTGTGGTGGTTTTCGGTGGCTCTTATGGAGGAAGTAGGCTCAAAATCCCCTCTCAGCTTTTGATGCTTAATGGCTGTAGTGAATGGCTAAGATAAATTCATTTAACATCAAACTAGATGACTTTGCCTAGGAAATTAAGATCAATGGGATAGTAACTAAATGTAGTAATTGAAAAAATAGTCATCAATGGTGTAGTAGGATGGTAGATGCTAATGCCTCTTTATAGTGGGGGGCTGCTAGTTGTTTCAGTTGACTCGTAGAAAAATGGTCTAGATGCTGGGACTGCTGTTTTAATTTTCTTGTCACGGGTGAAATTAGTTTCTTTATTTCTTGTTTGTAATGAAAAGGTTTCCTCCTCTCTCTCTCAGTGCTGGCAGCCTGGTTCAGACTGAAATACCCACACATAGCCATTGGTGCATTGGCATCTTCAGCCCCTATTTTGCAGTTTGATGACATCACTCCATGGTCAAGCTTTTATGATGCTGTCTCCCAGGATTTCAAGGTCTACATTTCTTTCTCCCTCTTCTTCTGTGTGTTGGAGAGGGTGTCATTTCGGTTCAATTTTTTCTCAGACTCCTTTTTTCTTGTATTGAAAGATGATTTTATTAACACGGGCAGGAAGCAAGCTCGAATTGCTATGAAGTGATAAAAGGGAGCTGGGCAGAGCTGGAGGCACTATCAGCGCAGAAGGAAGGTTTGGCTGAACTGAGCAGAACTTTCAGAGCTTGCCAGTAAGCCTCACCTTTTATTCATACAATCCACAGAGAATTAAAAAAAGAAAGTATATTTCTGTTTTATGAAATTGTGTTTCATGTAAAGACTCTGCCTTTGATTACATCAATGGTGAGACAGAACCTTGACCTTTCATTTGGGAGGGAAGACAATCCTACTGACTACCTCTTCAATTTAATTTATCAATACAATGATCAACTAGTTACAAGGTTGGGATAAGAAAGAAGAGAATAGACACGATACCTGCCTAAATGCATGAGAGGATTTGGCAGAAACTAATGCTCTGACTTTCGAAATTGCAAAATGCATGACAGAGTATGGGGATAGGTAGTCATATACAGTCAAAAGAATTTCTTGACATTTTTCCATGACCAGGAGATTTTGTGCTATTGGGACACAATAGTTATTGAGAATACTGTTAATCCTTTTAATGATAAAATCTATCTTTTGGTTGAAAACATATATGAGTAATGCCCTTAGCAACTTCACCACACACACACGTTTACAAGCCTCATAAGGCCATTTTCACTTTCATGTCAACCCCACTTTGGTTATGGAAGATCAGCAAATAGTGAAAGATAAGTTAGTTTCCACCAAAGAAATTGTTTAATGCACATTTCTGAGTGGATTTTCTAACCTCAAGTCCCAACGTTAATTTATT